AGAGACAGATGATGGATGGAGGAACAGAGTAGAGCCTTGCAGCCCTGTCTAGCGGCATCCAAGAGAAGTAGGGAACCTGTGGAAGATCTTAAACAGAAGTAACATGATCCGGCATATTGTATAGGTGGGTGGTTCTCAAGCATTGTGGCCTTGGGGCTCCATTACACCCTTAAAAGTCTTTAAAGACCAAAGAGCCTTTGTTTATGTGGCTTATTGCTGGTGGTACTCACTGCAGTAGAAATAAAGCAGAATTTTTAAAAATGTTTTGCCATGAGGCATGCTCACCAAAGAGAGACAGAGACCATGAGAGAGAGTGAGAAAGCACCTCCCGGGATAGTCACACACCTTCCTTCCCCTTTCTCCTGGGATTTTGGGCATCCACACAAACGTGCCTGGTGTGATCTTCAAGCTGCTAGGTCTGGGACTTGGACTGCTGGTAGCAATGTGAGAGTGTCTTAACCATCTTGCCACCTGCTGGCCCCAAGCAGAAATTTAAAAAAAAATAATTTTAAAATAATAATAAAACTATTACTTTTTTTTCTTAAGTGATTTTTACTATAGGGCATGTGTGTTCACTGGAGAGACAGAGATAGAAAGTGAGACATCACCCCCCAGTGGGGATGGCCACACTGCAATCCCTTCTCCCATTCTCTCAGCATGTGTGGGCACACTCACATACTCCTGGCATTTTTTTTTTTTTTTTTTTTGGAGAGGTTTTCGCTATAGGGCGCGTGTGCTCGCCAGACAGAGAGACATAGAGACAGAAAGCGAGAAATCATCCCCCAGGGGGGAATGGTCACGCCGCAATCCCTTCTCCATTTTTCTCCTGGGCTCTTGGGCACGCACACACACGCGCCCGGCATGAGTTTTAAGCCACTGGGTCCGGGCCGCGACCCGCGGTCGACTATGTGGGAGTCCAGCGACATAGCCACTACGCTAACTGCTGGTTCCCACTCCTGGCGTATTTTAAGCTGCCTGGTCTGGGACTTAAACCGTGGTCGATTATGTGGGAGTCCAGCAATGAAAGCATTATGCCATCTGTTGGTCCCCAAACTATTACATGTTAAGGATATATTGGGTCATCAGAAAAGTCATGATATATTTTCCTGTTTTTCTATGCAAAAATATGTCATGACTGCCTATGACCCAATATTGTAAAGGTTTTTTTTTTTTTTTTTTTTGGTTTGGTTTGCTATAGGATGTGTATACACACCAGAAAAATCACCTCCCAGGAGGGATGGCCATGCTGCAGTCCTTTTTCCATTCTCCAGGGATTTTGGGCACTCACAGGTCCAGGTCTCAAACTATGGAGTCAGCCATGTGAGATCCAGCTGTCTTCACTGTACTACCTGGCTGGCCCAACAAAAACATTTAAAACAAAAATTAACTTTCCAAAACGATTTAGTGAATGACTTTTTTTTCCAAGTAATGTTGCAGATGTCTGACTTAATAGAAAACAGCTGATTTTCCTATCTGCTACTGCATCCAGACTGTTGGGATGCGGTTTTGGTTGATGTATGAAAAAGTGCCTTTCTCATAAATCTGTAGCAGGGGAAGAATAGTTAGCCTTTTCAAATAATTGCATATGTTCTTTAATACACTAGCAAAATCCAACAAAGGGTACTTTCAAGTTTAGTTACAACATGGAATCTAAAAGTAGACCAGTGAACTTGATATATTAAAATTCACCCATTTTGAATGAGAATGGGTTTTTTTACCCATACACTATTTAAAACATCAGACATGGGAACCAGCAGTTAGCGTAATAGCTATGTCGCTGGACTCCCACGTAGTTGACCGCGATTCCCGTCCCAGACCCGGTGGCTTAAAACTCACGCCGGGCGCGTGTGCGTGCGTGCCCAAGATCCCGAGAGGAGAATGGAGGAAAAGGGATTGCTGCATGACCATCCCCCCTGGGGGGGGGATTTCTCGCTTTCTGTCTCTATGTCTCTCTCTGTCTGTCTGGTGAGGGCACGCGCCTATAGTGAAAAATCTCTCAAAAAAAAAAATATATATATCAGTCATGTGGAAAGTTAGCTCACCAAGTTAAACAGGCCTTCCAAATGTTGACACATTTCACTATACATTTCAAAAAGTCACTTTACTATCACCCAGGTCATAAGGAATCTTATAGTATTGAGAAACTGAAAAATTTATAGTAATGCTATAATGTAGGTCTTCAAAAGCTAAGATTTCATGATGTTAGTAATTTTGACTAGTTCATCAAGGATGTTCTCAAACTGAGTTTTTTAGTTTCATTTGTGGGTATTTTGTTGTTTTTTTTTTTTGAGACTACATGGCAGTGAAGAATAAAATCACTAGTAGTGTCATTTTTGTCACTCCCTTTCTTAATGCTAAGTGCTAGTAATTTTACCACTATTGCTTTTGTACTGTCTGTGCAAATGTTAACAGTGAAAAGGAAAATAAAATCATAATGTTATAAAAATAGTTTTGACGTCATGAAATCCCTGAGATTCTGTGTTTTACTTTTTTTTTTTTTGGAGAGGTTTTGGCTATAGGGTGTGTGTGCTTGCCAGAAAGACAGAGAGAGACAGAAGGAGGCAGAGAGACAGAAAGCAAGAAATCATCCCCCAAAGCGGGTAGCCTCACCACAATCCCTTCTCCTCCATTCTCCTCTTGGGATCTTGAGATTTTTGCTATAGTGTGTGTGTGCTTCCTGGAGAGACAGAGGGAGGTGAAGAGACAGAAGGAGGCAGAGAGACAGAAAGCAAGAAATCATCCCCCAAAGCGGGTAGCCTCACCACAATCCCTTCTCCTCCATTCTCTTAGGATTTGGGGCATGCACACATGTGGATCCGGTGTGAGTTTCAAGCCACCAAGTCCAGGACTCGAACTGCAGTTGACCACATGGGAGTCCACTGCCCTAACTGCTACGCCACCTGCTGGCCCATGGCAATTTTTTAAAAAAAGAGATTAGTAGATTATTTATATTGAAAGATCTTTTTATATGACTAAGTAAAAAATATAACCTGAAATATATGAAATATATGAAATAAAGATCATTTTGGTGGAAAACAATTGTTTTCCTATAGGACAATTCCCTCTCAAATATCTGAAAGTAAACACAATGCAGTCCAAATCTTTTTTTTTTTTTTTGAGAGGTTTTCGCTATAGGGCGCATGCACTCACTAGACAGACAGAGAGAGACATAGAGACAGAAAGCGAGAAATCACCCCCAGGGGGGATGGCCACGCCGCAATCCCTTCTCCTCCATTCTCCTCTCGGAATCTTGGGCACGCACATACACGCACCCGGCGTGAGTTCCAAGCCACCGGGTCCAGGACGCGAACTGAGGTCAACTACGTGGGAGTCCAGCGACATAGCCATTATGCTAACTGCTGGTTCCCAGCAGTCCAAATCATTTTAATTGAGCCATTCTTTTTGTTGGGGTTGTTCTGATATAAATAATATTTGTATCAAACACAGGAGGGCAGCAAATGATAGTCAAATTACTATTGGAAAGTGCTTTAAACTACTAGATTTTTTGCTACCTTTGAAGAAAAATCAGCAGTTTCTATATGTATTTACGGTAATATTGTAATTAGAAAGTCACTTTGCAAACTGTAAGTTGTGGGTTTGTTTGTTTGTTTTTGTTGTTTTGTCTTGTTTTTGCCAGAGGACACATGTACTCACCAAAGGGATACAGAGACAAAGATGGAGAAAGCAACCCCCAACAGGGCATAGTCATGCTGCAATCTCTTCTCCATTTCTCCATCCCATTGGAATTTTTGACATGCACACCCAAGTGCCCAACTTGTTTTTGAAGCTTCTAGGGCTAGAATTGAAACCACTGTTGGCCACGTAGGACCCAACATCCTTAACTAGACTATAGAGCTGATGCCCACACTTATTATTTAACAAATTTTTAATGATCATTCTGTCGATCACTGTGTTATGCTTACAAGGACAGGACAAGACGTGAACCCAGACCTAGCTATGGTGCTAGTTGGGGAAATATATACAGCAGCATATACATGATTCTAATCCTTATTAGCAAGTGCTAAGTGCTAAAGATTTAGAAAAAAAAAGTCCACTGGAGTTTACAAGAAGTTTACAAACTGCCAGTGAGAGTGGAAGATGACATTGTTGAGAGGGCTTTTGAGCAGGACCTTTGGTAATAAAGTAAGATTCACACGTATTAAGAGAAGGGCAAGACATTAAGAGCCTCTGGGGTATTATCAGCTGTCATAGCAAGGGCAAGAGAATTCATATCACTTTTCTCTATATAAAAAATTTTCACTGGGACCAGCAGTTAGCGTAATGGCTATGTTGCTGGAATCCCACGTAGTCGACCGCGGTTCGA